ATAATAACCAAATTTTTATTTAGTATACAAAGCAGGAGATTTTTTAATATATCGAGAACAATCCTCAATGTTTATATACCAAGTACGTAGTGTAATAATAGATAAAACAGATAATAATTCAATTAAACTCAAAATAGATCCAGTCCTTTCACATGAAAATCTTCCCAACTGTTATTCTGTTGATAAATGATATATTCATAGAAACGGTAATGAGTTATGGCTAGTTGAAAGTGGATTGAATTTGGTTGATCTGGCTAACATAGTACAGCATATTATTGTTTGGTTATGTGACATGCCAGAACCAGAAGAGTATGATTTTTATATTAAAGAAATTGTATATTATTTTGACGGCAGGTGGAAATATCGTGATATAACAATGAGACATCAGTTGCCTTATGAAAATCTTACACTAATATCACCTTCAACTTCCCATTTTAAAGGTTTTTCTTGACATTTATGTTGATGACTTTAGTACTTATAGAAATGTATACCATTCGTTAGGTGGAGTTTACTTGCAATTCGGAAATATGCCATTAATACACCGAAAACAACTTAAGAATTACTTTTTGATCAGTTTTGTTCCTTTTGGTGCAAAATTTGAAGATTTTATTAAACCTGTTTTTCAAGATATAGAACGACTAGAAAAAGGCTTAATCATGAAAACGATATATGGTGACGCTTAGGTGATTGGTGGACTTGGCTGTATCACATCTGACCTCCTGCAGGAAAATAACTTAGCAGGAATAAAATGCTATGAAGCAATTCATGGTTGCTGAACATGCAACATTTCAATCGATCAGCTTACTAGCTCAGATTATAACTATGTGAAAAATGCACGCTTTAACCAACAAACAGAAGAACGTATCGAAGAGATTAGAAGTCAATATTCTAAGTCAGAAAGGAATCGCCTGGCTACTGAATATGGTATCGTAAAACCGGGAGCTTTCGACGTGCTTAAATGGGATCGGCATCTCTAAACCTCACAAGATGCATATCATTTTATGTCTGAAAAAGCACGCATACTACTAGATGCAACATTCAATGTGTTCAATGCAGTTAGCGAAATTGATTTTATTAAGTCTTGAAAAAGAATTGAAAAGCTTTTTCACTGGTGTCGGATACCAAATCCTTTAAAACATCGTCAAAGTTTTATGTTTTCTGACATGTTAAAACTTTCAATGCTAATGCCATTTATACTTCGACGTTTTTTAAAACCATATCACATAAAATCAGATGCTTTGAATAATTGGAGTGTGAATCTTGGAATAAAACAAAATTCAGTTACAGACCCCCGCCAAAAGTCTCCAAACGTCATCTTTCGGCTATTTCATACCGAATACATCATATGACTGTATAATACTGCGGTCATGTAATGTACCTGACC